GTCCAGTATTGGTGTTGTATCAACCCATTCTATTGGTTCGGTTCGTCCCCATTCGGGAACAAAGATCTCAACACCGGGTGGACTTTTGGTTTTCCGCGTTGCCGTGTCATAAATCAATTTCATATTTTCTACCTGAGTGAACGAAATACGATATGTGGTTAGATTGAAGATTGATTTAGTTAAAATGTGTCAGATATCCATTTGAAACCTCACCCAACAATCGACTATAAACGGCAACAACTCAAACGGATTCAACCAAATGTCAAAGAGGTCATGTGTGCGAAAACAGAAAAAATGCGGTACTGACGGCTTTTCATTCAGCTTAACTTGCAGTCGATTTCCTCCCAATCCAGGAACTGTGAAGATAAATAATCTTTCGTAAAATTTGCATGCAATTTATTTGAAAATGTACACTGTCGAAAAATCATCAAGATTTTATCGCATAGCGGTGTTTTTACACAATGAATGGCTATGGTCTCAAATGATTTCAATTTGGCCGTTTTTTTTGTTCTCATCTTCCGCGAAAAAATCGTCCGTTGCTAAAATATTCTTAAATTACATGGCTTAGAATCGAATTGTTCAACGTTTGTGGGAGTCCCAAACGAAAATAGATAATAACCTAACCCGATAAAAATGTCACATGAATGTTGGGTTATCTCATATTGAACAATAACTTTGTAGGTCGTAAATAAACTGTGTATCGTCGCAAATGTGATGGTATATACGAACGGAAAATTCTTGACGCGAATTTACTTACTGAATATGACAGGCGAAAGACGTTTTGGATTAAAATCGGATGGATTTTTATCATTGTTATTCTCACTGTTGGTGCCTTCATAATCGTTGTCGTTTAGTTTGAAGTGGCCATTGCTTGAGTGGTGCAAACAAAATTGTAACAATATGACATAAACTGCATTCCGTAACTTCATGCCGGCAATTTTTGTTCAACTTTTTTTTTTCAATCAAACTAGTTTTTTCGACAATAAATAATTCCACTTAATTTTGACGGGGGAAAATCGAAACAAACTGCTGCTCGCTTTATCACACTGATTCAAAGTGAACCTCACACCACGACGTAGTTAACTATTGTTGACTTTTGTATCGTTAGACAACAACATTAACATGCAAATGTGCTCGGTTAACGCACATTATCACCATGAAAACGACGACGTGCTTAAGTTCTGCGTGAAGTTGGCAAAATTGACAGTTTAGAATCCAAACATCGATTTTATGATGAGTGAACGCGCACAAATGACACATTTATTGGCGATGATTCAATACAAACCATTTTATGATAATATCTTCAAGTACATGTTGTCGAGAGTGTTTCCTGAGAAACGATAACATTTTCTTCATTTAATCATCAATAATAATTATGTGTTTCTATTTTACAGCGCTATGTGTAACAATTATGTGTTTTGAGAATATGAATAATAATAATAAAGAATAAAATCGCTTTCGTTTGATGTTGATGGTCAACGATTCATCGCTAGACAAATCGGAAAATACACAAAAGTGTCGAAAAAACCGTTTATTATTGCTATCGAGATAAGCCGAGGCAATTGGCTTCTTATTGCTTTTGTTGATGTAATGTATAGTATAATAATGATATGGCATTGGTAAGATCTATTCAGTTACAATATTAAATTCAGAGATGAAATACATTTGGCATAGCAGTGGGTTTCAAATTTGTGCCTTAAAATAGTCGAATTTTCATCATATCCGAGTAGCTAACTTTTTCATCGGGTCGTGGATAGTCATTGTCTTTGGTGAGTTTGCCGATGATGTAGTTGATGGGAGCAGCATTGCTGAGCATATTGTAGTGCTCAATGCCTTGATATTCTTGTTGATAAATTTTTTGAGATTGTGCCTTCTCCCAATGGCCGCAACCAATCAATGAGCGCCGATTCACTTACAAAAATTGTAACATTAAATTTTTAATAAATATAAATTCTGAATATTTTGAATTACCAGTTCCGTCGCCATTCCCTTTGACCAATGTTGGATTTCCATTGTAAGCTGCATCAAATTCCAATCTGTAACACAGAGACTGAAATAACCGAATCTTCTGCCGGTTTTCGGATCTTCTGAACGGAAAAATGCTGCTCTAGTTTTAAATTACGGATCCTAAGAAATTTCAAATGAAACAAAATTTATGCCCAAAGCATGAATACAAAATACTCTTTGATAGAAAATATTACAATAAATTATGGAAAAATTGAATTTCATTGCACATCATGTGAAAATATTAGGCTCGCTTCGTTCGCCATACAAACATTAAAATTGTTGGTTAAGATATGGGAAATATCAAATTCGTAATCGCAAAAACTGTTCACTTTTTCGAATTTTTTGTGTACACCTGCATTCTGTAGTTCGTCAGCTTTTCAATGAATGAAAAATTTTAATCGTTATTTGAAACAGTTCTGCGTTCACATAATAAATTCTCACTTTGAAGACTTCGGTTGGAAATCGAAGTTGAATGATTGAATATCCTAAAACACCGATTGTGAAGTAATCGTGGCACTAGCATGCACTAATGTGCTGAGGCGGCATTCATATTGAAAAAATAATTCTCAAGATCGGCAATAAAATTGTATATGAATCAATGGGGAATATCAAACATTTCATTTTGTTTTTTTTTTTCGTTAAACAAATTGAATCTTTCAAATACAATGAAACTCATCTATAATTCAGAGTTTGGTTTTGTTTTTTAGATTGCAATCGGAATTTCGGATCTTCTGAACACAATTAATCGTGTTTTCGGATCTTCTGAAAATTTCTTATTTCAGTCTCTGCTGTAACATCAACAAATGAATGTTATATTTAGAACAATTACGAGCGTTTTATATTTCGAATTAAAAAAAAATGCATAAAATTCCATTCGCACCTGTCAACCGTATCGCCAACGTTGTTGCCATACAAACAGTGCAATTCCGCTCCAGGCGCTGTGTAGTTTTCGAATAAAGCCAAATCCTTTCGCATTTCGACCGCATTAGGGAGACTGATATCACTGTTTAGAGTAAAAATAATAATGGATAAAAAATTGTCGAGAGTTAATTGCTTCAAAAAAAACTGAACTCACTAGAAAAACTGGTCGATATTCTCCAGTGTATAATTCTTCCGATTCATTGTAACCATAGCTTCATTCGATTTCCAAAAGTTTTTGGAAGGCATTAGCCAAACCACCGCTGGTCATGTCTCTTGCACCTGCTTCATTTTATTATTTTGAATGAGTTCGGCTCCAAAATCGTAACCAACCGAAATAGCTTGAATGGCTTGGATGGAACCGCCCCAGGGAGTTGACAGTGTGATGACTTGTTTAACATATTTATCTTTCCATTCTTGTGGCATTTGTTGTAGGAAATACAATATCATTCTGCCACCCATGGAATGACAGATAAATGTAATGCCGATATTCTCATTGATGTTATACGCGAACTCAGTCAACTCTTTTAAGCGTATGAACCAGTCTTTGTTTTCGTCTGTAAAAAACAGTACATGAAAATCAATACATGATGAAAATTCAATGATAAAATGAAAACCAATTTCTGCAATGACTCACTAGGCCCTTTTCGAAAATCATATGGTGCGCCAAAAAGTGTATACCCACGAGCATAGCCACGATTAACTAAAGCCTCAGAAATATAGTAGAAATATGCGCCAAAATCATAACGATCTATGACGGGTGTTGTATCAACCCATTCCAAATCCTCAACTCCTCCCCATTGCGGCATTCTAAACTCAACTCCCGGCGTGTTTTTTGTTTTCCGCGTAACATTGTCGTACGAAAGCTTCATATTGTCCACCTATGGTATTATTATTGACAAATGGTCAGTTTATGCCAACTTGAAAATTCTCCACAGAGAAATGTTATGAATTTACCCAGCAATCAATTATGCCTGGAATCATTTGTAACGGATTCAACCAAATGTCAAAATAGTCTTCATTTTTGACACACCACATGTGTGGAACATCGGCTTTGTTGAGTCGGGCCTGCATTTTGTTTCCACCACATCCAGGGACTGTGAATAAAATAAACATAAATTTTTGTATTAGACTTTTTCCACTTATCTGCTAGCGCTAATACGCAATAAATTGTTGTGTCAATAAGTTCAACTACGTTTGTTTTTCTATTTTCAATCAATTTCATAAAAAAAATGTTGTAACAATCTCTTCGAATATATTCGTAAATCGCTTAAATTTATTCATTCTTCTGTACAGTGCAAGTGCTTAAGTAATTAACTGTATATATAAAAATGAATAGAGTTAAACAAAAAAAGTCTAGTTGTTTTCAACAGTTCGATGAGAAGAAGGCATTTATGCCATTTTCGTCGTTGAAGAAAAGAAAATCTTTCTCTATAACTCTTCTCTACTCTGTGAGATGGAATGAATCAATTGACCCAGTTGTATTGGAGTTGTTGTTGACGTCGATAATCGTAGCGTTCACTTTCTACAGCATCATAGGTCTTATTTTTGACCAGCACCTGCAAAATGTATTCCACAACCCGTTTATCGCTTAAAATTCCCGAATGACCGACACTGGGGAGTTCAATCGAATGAATCGTTTTCTCTCGTTGTGCTTTTGTTCCACTCCACATTTCGCAGGATTTTAATGATCTAGCATTTACCGTACCGTCTCCGTCTCCAGTTACCAGTGTGGGTGTTGTTTTCAAATCTCCTTTGTAATTTAGTCTGAAAATTCACAAATAAATCGCATAACTACTAATTCTCTCCAAATAAAGGTCAATTCGAAATTGTTTGGTGTGCAAACCGTTCGACTGTTGGAATTCCTTCGCCGTATAAACAATGAACTTCAACGCCTGGCGCCGTAAAATCCGTATATTGTAGTGTGTCCTTTCTCATTTCCCATCCGGTCGGATAGCCAATATCACTGTGAAAAAAAACAAAACAAAAGAAAACAGATCAGTTTGTTTATTATTCCCTCGTCGCTTTTTTATATTTCAATTCGCAATTCGAGACTTACTCGAAAAATTCCTTAAGGTTGGACATTGTGTACTGTTTGTCGCGTGTCGTTACCAACACTTCGTTTGATTTCCAAAAATGTGGCGACGGCATAAGCCATGCTAATGATGGTGATGTAATTTGTTCGGCTCTCAAAGTGCTACCGCTCAA